GCTGCCTGCTGCTGGATGCTGCTGCCTGCTGCTGCCTGCTGCTGCCTGCTGCTGCCGCTGCTGCTTGCTGCTGCCTGCTGCTGCCTGCTGCGGCCGCTGCCTGCTGCTGCCTGCTGCCTGCTGCTGGTGCTGCTGCTGGTGGCTGCTGCTGCTGCTGCTGCTGCTGTGGTGCTGGTGGAATCAAGCAGCTCCAAAGCAAGAAGCAAACAGCCAGACACCCTTTTCGAAACACATCCGAAACAGCAAAACACCACCTAATTTCGTGCCCAAAACGTAGCCAAGGAACCCCAAAGAAGGGCCTAACGTCACTTCTGAAACCCTTCTATAAAATTGAAACTTTGCCGCTGCTTCTGCCACTGCTTCTGCTCTGCTGCTGCTATTTTCAACGGCCACTGATCGTACTGCTGCTGCTGCTGCTGCTGCTGCTAGACTTGCTGCTGCCGCTGCTACTGCCACTGCCGCTGCTCTTACTGCTGCTGCTACTGAACCAGCTCTTCAACTTACACCTTCTGAGCCGCATCCGAAACAGCAAAACACCACCTAATTTCGTGCCCAAAACGTAGCAAAGGAACCCCAAAAAAGCGCCTACTTTAAAATTGAAACTTTGCCGCTGCCTGCCGCTGCCTGCCGCTGCCTGCCGCTGCCTGCTGCTGCCTGTTGCTGCCTGCTGCTGCCTGCTGCTGCCTGCTGCTGCCTGCTGCTGCCTGCTGCTGCCTGCTGCTGCCTGCTCCTGCGTGCTGCTGGCTGGTGCTGGCTGTGCTGGCTGCTGCTGGCTGCTGCCTGCTGCTGCCCGTTGAAGCCCGTTGAGCCCGAACCTAGGAAAGGACTATTCTCGCTGCTGCCTGCTGCTGCCTGCTGCTGCCTGCTGCTGCTTGCTGCCTGCTGCTGCCTGCTGCTGCCTGCTGCTGCCTGCCTGCTGCTGGTGCTGCTGCTGGTGGCTGCTGCTACTGCTGCTGGCTTCAAATAAACTCTCTTCCCTGACGCGCTCCCCCTTGCCGTCGGCCGGGGTCGGCGGATATTGTCCTGTCATATGGTGTCTCCATACTAACAAGAGAAGACCCTGCTCCTCTACGCTCTCGGGCCATCCGTCGTCTAGTTTCGTGTTTTTTTGGTGTTTCGATTTTGCATCCTGGTGTTTTTTCTGTTTTTTTGCATGTTTTGTGTGTTGTTGCTTTTCTTTAGTTTGTTTGGTTTTGTCATTGTTTTTGTTTCATTGTGCTATTCTTGTTTGTAATTGCTTTGTTTTTGCCTCTTCACTATCTCTTAGTTCCAGCAGGATAGGGATCACTTATAGGAAATAATTGCATTGCACCCTTTTTAAGCATAGAGCGGCTCAAATCCAATTTCCCAGGGCCACAGGAAATTACATCAAAGATTTGGGTCGCCAAGGACGCCTCGCACAGAAACAGCGGCCCCTAGGAAGAGGAGAAAAGAACAACAAAAAGAACACCAAAAAAACACAAAACAAGATGAAGCCCACGAACCCGAATGCTCACACGTATGTTAATGGTACAGATGTCAAAACACATGGTTATGCAGTCAAGCACGATACCTTTCTGCAATAGTTTATTTGAACAGTCTCGTACATGTTTCCCTTGTTACCAGTCTGCAGTGTGGAGTGGAAAGTGTAGAGTGTGGAGTGAGGAGTGTAAAGTGTGGAGTGTGGTGTGTAAAGTGTGGAGTGTGGAGTGGAAAGTGTGGAGTGACATACGTGTGAGCATTCGGGTTCGTGGGCTTCATCTTGTTTAATAAAGTGAAGATTAAGGATATTAAGGCGGACCTCAACGCGATAGGAATTAATGACTGGATGCATGAATGAATGCATTGGATGGCAAAAGTTATATAATCATCCAGGACCTTGGCACTCAACCCCAGTTTGTGCAGCGATATTTTGCAGATATGTTGAATACTTGCCGCTGGCAACACACCAGCACAGGTTCCTCAAAACCTATACTGTTGAATGTTGAGTAAACCTGTCAAAATATGAACTACGTTTAAAACAGCCAAATGCCATGATAGCGGCTTAAAACAGAACATATGAGACGCGTATGCATGTGCATATGGGGATTGATTGGGAGGTCCTGATAAAGATTCGCAATTGGGGGAAACTGGCCATGCCAGTCTGAATCATTCTTCGAATGGTCGCGAAAAAGCAAATATAGGATGTTATTTTGCGAAAGTTTCTTGGCAATAGGCACAAAGATTGGCTGCTTCTGGATGAAGGAATCCAGGTCAACCCAGTAGGTATATATGAGGGTTTAGGCTTGCACTTACAGACATCCGTTTGCAAATGTATATATCTATGTATTTGTTTGTGTATGTTAGCACCCCCCAAATAGATAGAAAATTGCCAGGATCCCCACAAGATCTTCCTCAGAAGGATCTCGGCAAATATTTTCATTCATACCAGGACCCTTCTGAAAACTTCACGAGACCATAGGACTGTGCAGGGAGGACCTTGCCACCGAATGCGTAGCGAAGGGTTCCCGTTTATAGTCTGGGGGTCTGGGGGCTGGACCCTTGTTCGCCTCGAGTGTCTCGTCGGGTCGCGGTCGGGTCGGCGTCGCGTCGTTAATTCCGTGTCTATGGGGGAAGCTGCAAAACCTCTCCTTGTCGAAGGTTTCCAAGCAGGTTGTCATGTCGTTTTGCGTGGCAGGCGTGGCACTTTGTGACACTCCGACCTGTTTGATAACGTGCCGAAAGTGTCAAAATTGGAGGAAGTCTCGCACGAAATGCTCGTTTTGCTGCGCCCACGTGTCTCGCCTAGAGTCTCTGGTTTTCCTGTGGCGTCGCCATGTCTATGGGGGAAGGTGCAAGACCTCTCCTTGTCGAAGGTTTCCAAGCAGGTTGCTCTACACTCTACACTCCACACTTTACATTTTACACTCCACACTTTACACTTTACACTTTACACTCCTCACTCCACACTCTACACTTTACACTCTACACTGCGCACTCTCCACTCCACACTCTACACGTTACACTCTACACTCTGCACTCCACACTTTACATTTTACACTTCACACTTTACACTTTACACTCCTCACTCCACACTCCACGCTCTACACTCTACGCTTCACACTCTACACTTCACACTCTCCACTCCACGCTCTACACTTTACACTCCACACACTGCACTCTACACTTTACATTTTACACTCCACACTTTACACTTTACACTTCACACTCCTCACTCCACACTCTACACTTTACACTCTACACTGCACACTCTCCACTCTACACTTTACGCTCCACACTCTGCACTCCACACTTTGCATTTTACACTCCACACTTTACACTTTACACTCCTCACTCCACACTCTGCGCTCTACACTCTACGCTTCACACTCTACACTTCACACTCTCCACTCCACGCTCTACACTTTACACTCCACACTCTGCACTCCACACTTTACATTTTACACTCCACACTTTACACTCCACACTTTACACTCCTCACTCCACACTCACACCTTACACTCCTCACTCCACACTCCATACTCCACACTCCACACTCCACACTCTACACTTTACACTCCACACTCTACACTCCACACTCTACACTTTCCACTCCGCACTCCACACTTTACACTTCACACTCCTCACTCCACACTCTACACTTTACACCCCACACTTTACACTCCACACTCCACACTCTACACTCTACACTTTACACTTTACACTCCACACTCCACACTCTACACATTCCACTCCACACTCTACACGTTACACTCCACGCTCCAAACTTTACGCTTTACGCTTTACACTCTTCACTCCCCACTCTACACTTTACACTCCACACTTTACACTTTCCAGTCCACACTCTACACCTTACACTCCTCACTCCACACTTTACACCCCACACTTTACACGCCAGACTCCACACTCTACACTTTAGACTCTACACTTTACACTCTACACTCTACGCTCCACACTTTACACTTTACACTCCACGCTTTGCACTGTACACCCCTCACTCCACACTTTACACTCCACACTCTACACTGTACACTCCACACTCCCGACTCTACACTTTACACTCCGCGCTCCACACTTTACACTCCACACTCCTCACTCCTCACACCACACTCCACACACTACACTCCACCCTCCACACTCCACACTCCACACTCCACCACACTCTACAATCTACACACACCACACTCCACACTTTACACTCCACACTCCACACTTTACACTCCACACTCCTTACTTTACACTCCACACTCCACACTCTACACTTTCCACTTCACACTCCACACTCTACGACTTTACGCTTTACACTCCACACTCTACACTTTACACGCTACACTTTATACTCTACTCTCCACACTCGACACTCTTTGTTGTGCTGCTGATGGTGATCTCGCTGTGCTTGTGATGTTGTTGTGCTGGTGATTTCGTTGTGCTGGTGATTTGGTTGCGCTGGTTATGTTCGCTGGTGCTTTCGTTGTAGTGGTGATTTCGTTGCGCTGGTGATGTTGTTGTGCTTGTGATTTTGTTGTGCTGGTGATTTCGTTGTGCTTGTGAACTGTTGATCAGGTGCCTCCGCTGAGACGATATGGGCGCACGATGCCTGAAAAAAAATGGCTCGTTTTCCTATTGCAGAGGTTTTCACTCGTAGTCCAAGAACGTGAATACATTCGGGTTCGTGGCTTCCATCTTGTTTTCACAAGGGCAAGCATTTCGGATGAAATATCAAGATCTTCCAGCAAGGACCTTTGAGAGGATGCTGCCACGATTTAAACAAATACAATTTCAGTGAGGAAAAAGTCGGAACATGCGGAGGCAAAATGTTTTTGGAGGAAAAGGCCAGCTCATCAAAGGCAAACATCAGATTACGCCGGATTATGTAGGGTCTTGCTTTAAAGAACGCATGCGTCAGTGATTTTTCTAATGAGTGCAACTACGATGGGTTGCCAAGAAGTCAAATGCACTCTGCATTCAGCATTTCTGAAAACGGTGCGGGACTTTGCATCCGTTTGCTTTCATTCTTTGAGGCCGGTGGCTTGCAGCAGTTTCTTTGCCGCTCAGCCCAATTCAGAGCCAGGGTCCATGTCTATGAAGCTGGGCGCAAGGCAAAAAGAAACAAAACATGAAAGATGTGTAAACATTAATATTTTTGCTTCCACGGTGCAACACAATGCAAGTGTGAGGGCAGTTGCGCCTGTCGTGTCGGCCACCTTCCTGAGTTTCAAAAAAGATACCGACACTATTGTGGGCTTTTTCAGGGGGGTTTACTTCGCAAAATTCTGGGGCACGGACAAATGCCCATAGGGAGCATTCTTTTCGCCATGTCAAAGGACGGAAGTGGGCAAACCGTTTTATTCCCCACATCATTGTGTGGGGTTCTTGTTTTACGTTCCGCATCCCGCCTCTCCTCCCCTCCTCCTCTCCGCCGCCTTACAACAAGATGGGCCCCAACCACATTGGCGCAAACAGCATTGCCACACACGCGCACACTAGACAAGAATGGATCATTTCAGTGATCCGTCGGGAACCGAATCCCATCACATGCAACTAGATTAGAATTAATTATATATGTATATATATATATATGTATATTGGACTATGGTGGCCACCAGCTGCGACTTACATGCACCCAGGTGCGCCACCACAGTCCCGCAGGTACGTTTCACGGGTTTCGGGGAGGTGTCTTCGTTGGTCACCGACACCCCCGGGACCCCGGTGACCCCCTGCATTAAAGTAATATCTAATATCGTATAATATAATATGATGAAATATGATGAAGTTTTTTGTCTGTTCAGACGTTACACACACTGTGGGATATGTAGATTCGATCGTAGTGAGGAGAAGTAAAAGAACACCACCAGTTCCTGAATAAAGGGCCTGAAACGGATCATAGGACATGAGGCATGAATTATGAAATATGAAAACTGGATACCGGTTCTCAGCTTAGCCGAATGCTATATCGAAGTTACTTAGTTTCCGGTTCTCAGCTTAGCCGGTCGCTATCCTCTGATGCAGGTACGCTGGGTTGATCAGACCCAGTATCCCATGATTGCGGTAGCTTCGTTGAGTGCGGTCCCACAATCATGCCGCACTCCCCTGCCAAATCAATATTTAGATTGCATGTTATTAGCAGTGTACACACATACACACACATGGCCTCTCAATATGAGAGGCAAATCTGTAAGAAGCACAGTAAAACTCTTTTTATCGACACCACTGCATCAAAGATTGTACGGGTTGGTCCTTCCAAAGACTACGAAGAAAACGATGAATTAAACATATATTCGCATCAGTGAAAAATTCAGGAATTCGTTGATACATAAGGCCCAGAAAATCCTGAACCTGGTCCAACTGAATTTTGGCTGGAAAAACATGAAAACGAATCAGGCGCAGACGAGCACAAAGTCCACTGAGGATAGCACGAGAAGTACTAGCACTTCGCATAGATCGTAAAGGTTTGTTTCAAGGTAATTCCAAAGTGATAGTCTGTTGCAACGTATCAAGGTGGAAACCTAATGCCTCCTGTCCAGCAACCACTTCCAACAAAATGGGAGCAGAATAAAATTGTAAATTCCAGAAAACCTGAATATGTGATAGCTTTCGACTAGGGCGAGAAATCAACAAAACACGATTGTCAACGTATCGATGATGTAGAGAACGATCCCGAGTAAATGGAGAAAATGACATTGCGAAGTTCCATTCTCGTTGAAGTGCAACTGCAGAGCATAGAACGGGTGCAAACTGGGATCCCATACTGGCACCCCGACGTTGTCGAAATACTTGGCTCCCGACCGTGAAATACGAATGATCCAACAAATATTGCACCAAGCTAGGAATATCACGCAAAGTAATAGTCATACATTGTTTCGTCTTTTCTCTCCAAGATCCTTGAAAAAACATGAAGAATCCGTTCCAAACGAACAACATGTGATTGCATAACAGAATCTTATCCTTGTTCACACTGAGAAGCAAAGGTGAATACAGCGAACTGTATGGCCAACACAATACGATCATGTTCAACTTGATTGTAAAAACCAGCGATATCTGTTTGACGCAAGGAAAAGGCAGTTTCTGCAAAATCCTCCATAGAAAATAATGCACTGATACCAGTAATGACATCTTGAACATGTGCAAATTCCAAAATAGATCCAAAAACCGCATTGAGGATGCAACCCGAATGCATCAAGTGATTTACGGAACGACACTGAAACAGCCGTCCAAGAAAACTCTTTAAATCTTGGGACTTCTTGGTTGTAAACAGATCAGGAAGTCAAGAATGCGTCAAGCCTAACAAATCTTGATTGTCCTCATATTCGATGATGCAACGAACGATCCCAAGTGAAGGGTGAAAAAGAGAGATGATAGTTCCATTCACGTTGTAAAGCCACGGCTGAACAAAGTACAGGTGCAAACTGAGATCCCATACTGGCTCCCCGACATTGTCGAAATACTTGGCTCCCGACCGTAAAATAGGAAGTATCCAGCAAGTATTGAACAATAGCAGAAATGTGTCTCAACGTAACAGAAAAGTATTGTTTTGAGATAATGTTCCAACTTGTGAATGTGAGCCTGCAGGACAGTGTCTAAACCTTGTTCGGTTTTCTGTGCATACGTGTACACGACAAACACAATGACATCAAAATTCCGGAAAGTTGTACTTGATTATAAAAACCAGCAATGTCTGCTTGATGCAAGCAATGCGCAGACTCCGCGAAGGACTCCATAGTAAACAATCGACGAATTCCTTCAATAACAGCTCGTACATCCGGAAATTCCAAAATGGACCGAAAGACAGTGTTCAAAATTTCGATCAGAAGAGTAGAAATCGCACTGCCCAATTTCCTAGCCCATGCTGTTGAATAATGCACAATTGGTCGAGCTTTTGCAAAATCACGGGTAGGTTTAGGCAAAATATATATCCTTTGCTCAATGTCGAATTGTGAAAACCTAATCCCCAGGAATAAGTTTGTTGAAGAGCGGGGATGACTGGAGGTTCCACACGTGTTGAAGGCGAAGGTGTAGCCTTGTCCCGAGCCAAAGTTGCCGCTGCTGCCTTGGTAGAATCGTCCCGAGTGGTTCCTGTGTAAGAGGCAGCACAGACATCTTTTTTTATCATAGCATGAATTGTTACATCTGGCAAGAATCTACGAAATGAAAGTAGCCACTCCATGAATGGTCGAAAGGTGAGATCGAAATGCCCAACGAGAATCTGATCCATGCACAACATCAAAGAAATAGCCCAACAATTGATCAGCATAAACTCCACCCTGTGACGTCCGAATGTGTGCTTGACGTGCAAAAGCACGACCAACAATACAAACAGGCCGAGCAGTATTGAGGCCGCCAAATTTCTTGGCTTGTTCCAAAATTTTCAGCACATGTTTCCTAGAAAAGGAAGAATCATCATTGAACAGTACTCCCCGAGAGTAGAAGGTATTGGGAGTCAGCCAGTCTGGGCTCCGTACATCGCATGGATCCAATCGCAATGGGTTGCTGAAAAGATCGCAATAGGCTGTTGCTGGGAGTTGAAAATGATCTCAAATTTCTCAACCAATGAAACGTTGTTGCTGTAACGTCCCAAAGCAGTAACCAGAAAGCGGAGAGATGTCAAAACAGAATCACGCAAAACAGGGTTACGTAGTTGTGCAGAAAATCGATGCTTCAAGTCAGTCGAAATGTAATCATGCCAAAATTGAGTGTGATTCACTGCATCTTCATGAGTAATGTAACCACGGGAGGAGTTAAAATGGTCAGCATTAGGTATCCATTGTTGACATCTCGTATCTTCGATCAGCATTCCATCTTCAAAGGCATTCTTCACGCGAAATGGATTATCAGCAATTGATTTGTGAATACGAAGCATCTGTTGATAAAGAAAAAGAATGTCGATCGTCTTGAACAAATCGTTTGCACCCACTAATAATTCAGATGAAAATGTCGCCACGGGAAGAGCGACCCAAAATTGAAATCCTTGTGTCTTCAATTGAGGGTGGACCATGTCTTTGACTTCATGACTGGTCTGAAAAGGATCATCAGTCTGAGTCCGTCCAATGGTAAAACAGACAGTCTCATTGCGGACTGGTGGTACCACTCGCTCACTCACAGAACACCAAATTCGTTCAGGAGTATTACTTGTTCCAGATTGCTTCACATGATGGTAAAGACCATAGCGCGGAATTTGAACTGAGCTTGTAGCACTTTGTAGCTCATGAAGAGGATCTGGTTGGAAATCAAGACGACGACGTTTGGGTTCCGGACCACTTGGAGTAAGCACGGAAGGTCCCGGACCAGCTGGTAGAACAGCAGACTGCACCAAGGGTCCCGGACTGCTTCCAGGTAGTTCATGAGAAGGATCACACAAGGTCCCCGACGATCCCAATGCTGATTGGACAAATGTGAGCGGCTGAGTAAACAAATTTCCCACACCAGGTACTAAAGAAGACATGGAAGACATGAATGCATTGCATTGAAAAGCCAATGGAAACATCATTTGTTGCATAGAATGCAACTGTTGGGTCTGAATTTGTTGCATCTCAATGATCTGTCTTTGCATCGTTGCCATTCGTTCCAAGAACGAGCATGCTCTTGTTGGGTGCGCAACATTGAAGACATAGAAGATTCAGTCATACGTAAATTGTTCAACTGCTGCGAAACACTGTTGGGGATCACTCCCGGAGGAAGCGGCAAATTCGGGGGAGGTCCCGATGATTTCACAAAAGTTCGAAATTCCATGGCTCGAAACTACGGCTCTAAGGTTAAATGTAGAATTAGATCATACCATAAGAGCACACAAAACTGAGGATATGACCACATGTACTGGAAGAAGTGCGCATTCAAAGTACTTCGTCATACGACAGCTTCTCCCTTGTGGGTACTTCGCCAATTAGGCAAGACTTCGCCTTCTGGCTGTCAATATGTGTTGAACGAACTTCAATGTCCACCTTGACATTGTCTACTTCTTTTGCATGTAATATGCAAAGGGAACTTCAGGATGTTGGCAACATCCCACTCTGCAGCCGGGAAAATGCCCGGTCATAACTTTCATATCCGTC